GTCCAATCCAATCTAATAAATATTTTGGATCGGATTGGTCCAATCCAATATGTCTTATTAGTCTGTCCAATCCGTCCAAATTGATTTTGAACTGGACGGGGTCCAATCCAAAACTGGTCCATTAACACCCTTAGCTGCAGCAACAAGATGTGGGGAAAGAGACCAGGTTAACTCAAGCATCAAAATCCAAGGAGACAAGCACATGGAATTGGCTGATGTTCTAAAAATTATGGAGATACATAAGAGTGAAGAAGTCTTTCTTTAAGTGGTATCTTCCGTTAGCCTACAAGTAGACAAGAACTATATATAAATTAGTGGGGATAGACACTGATACAGGGTTGTCCTCTTTCCATCTTGGTCTGAAGGGGAAAGACTCGTGTAGAAATAACAGGAATACCCCTTCTCAAAGACTCATGTGAGCCTATAAAACAAGAACCGATAAGTCAAATGACTATTATCAGCTACATAGTTACTTCCCTAAGAATACTCATGGTTGTTTGTGAAATTGGGTCTAGGTCATTATTATTTTATGGGATTATAGATGATAAGGACAACTTTTGGGTCCTAATATCATTAAAAATAGTCCTTTTAATATAATTTCTAAAATATGTTAACTTTTTAAAAAATATATCAAATAAGGAAAAAGACACTGTTTATCATCTTCCTCCAAGCAAATCAGTGGTGAGTTGCCTGAACCCAGAGGATTGCTGATGGCACTAAGCACCCGGTGGTTGGCATTGTTGAACAGAGATCCGTGACTCGAAGGTGCTTAGTTTCCTGAACCCAGAGGATTTCCGATGCCCCATCTCTCTTGAGATTATGACCAGTCCTGGTGGTTTCTTTCATTTTAAGATTAAAGTGTCATCCCTCTCTTCTCCCCTATTAGTTATTACCAGAGTATTTCGGTAACCCTTTCAATTTAAATGTGGCATCTCTTCTCCCCTGTCCCAGAACAGGGGAGAAGCTAACAAAATCAGAGTTGGTCCCCAATACAATTCTCAGAAAAAGCTCCATCTCTCTTCCCCTCCTACCGCCTCTACATGAAGCCATTTTTCTTTTGGAGGAAAAATGATTCAAAGAAACTCCATGTCAATAGATTGGCGGTAGTCATTGGTGTAGTAGAGGCATGTTGTCAGATTGGCGTTTCCAGAGGTGAGTGGAGGTGGTGGGGGCGCTGGTGGATGATGGTCATTGAAATTCGCAGGGCTGGGGCGGAAGTAGTTTGGAGGAGGAAGAAGATGAATAGTGTTTTTGTCCTTATTTGATATATTTTTTTATAAAGTTAACATATTTTAGAAATTATATTAAAAGGATTATTTTTGTTGATATTAGGGCCCAAAAGTTGCCCTTATCAACTACAATCCCTTATTTTATTATAATTTAAAAAAAAATATTGTTTTATTAAACTGAGTCCAGTTGCCTGGACTCAAGACCTGTACAGGTGGTTCATTCAAGCAGTGGAGCAGCTAGGTATGGGAATCGATTGTGTTACCCACCACAACATTGCTAGCCACCTTCAAGTACTCATCTTTCTTAGTTGTTGAGACTGTTTCCTTCGTTAGCTCACTTGGGTTTTTTGAGAATTTCATCAACTTTTCTAGTGTTAAAAAATATGTTGAATCTTGAAACATAGCTGCCGAAGAATGGAGGCCATACGTGGGGAGCTCCAGCTTGGCTTTTTAGTTTATACAAGTTCATGAGAAGAGATTCCAAAATCTGAAATCTCGACTTATATGAAACGAAAAGTATATGTATCTGAAAACTTGTATTTCTTTTACCAAATTTAATGAGAATATTCAGAGAATTATATAATTTTTATTTTTGTAGAAATGTCGATCACATCGGAAACATTTGTTAGCATGGGAGGCTGAGGCGGGGAGCTGGAGACAGAGACAACAAATGTACGGTGGCGCCGGAGGAGGGAGTGTGAGAGATATGAACCCTCCTAGGTGTCCAAGATTCAAAGTCTGTGTGGTGTGTGTTTCGATTGCAAACAAAATGTTGGGATTCGAGCCAGATCTGCAATGGCAGCGGTATGCTTTGTTGCACAACAGGTGAGAGTTCCAGAAGTCAAAACATGATGGAAGATAGGAGGAAGAGGAAGAACAAGTCGGGTTTGAGTTTGAATAATTGAATTAAACCTGCAAAAAAAAGAGTTATAACAACCCTTTGTTTTTACTATGAAGATTGAGCTGTTCAGTATTTCTGCTTGATCCAAGATAAGAACTCCATTACCCTATTCTCTCAAGGTAGTACCAAGATCGTTCTCTACTTCTCTCTACCAAAACAACGTACAGACAAAAAAAGTGGGCTAGTCACAGGAAATTAAGATCTTATGTTGAGCTACAAGAAGTGAAGAAACCTCCAAAGTTTACTATATAAACAAAACAAAGTTGAAAGACATACAAGGAAGTATTTGTCATATCTAGAGGTATAGATCGGACCGTGCTGCCAGTGGCCCGGCATAAACTTGGACTGGCCCGGCACGATAGTCCACGGGCTGTATTGGGCCTGGGGTTTTAGGTTCATGGGCCGGCACAACATGGCACGACCCATATATATATTATATATATAAACAATATATTATAATTATATAATAATATATTAATAAAATAAATATTTTTTTTAATTTTATTATACTAATTTATTTAATTATTGTATATATAAGCAATTGTATACAGAAAATTCATATAAAATTAAAATTTGAAGTTTTTTGTCAATTTTTTTTTAAATAAATAGCTTTGGCCCAATGCACGATCCAACCTGGCCCAAGGCTCGGCCTGCGGCACGGGCCCACACAGGCCTGGGCCGTGGGCCGTGCTGGGCTGACCCCCGAAATTTTCACTGGGAAGGGCGGCACGACCCGTAACGCCCTGCACTTTGCACGGGCCACCCGCGGACCGTGCCATGCCGGCCCGGCACAGCCCACTTTACACCTCTAGTCATATCCGACCTTTCTACCCAACAACCAGATGATTTAAGAAGTATACAAAATCTATATACCCAGATACAGAAAGCAAACGGCTGGACATAGTGTCAAATATTAAACTTACACCAGAAGTTGGAATATCAAAGATGGTATAGCAGACATCTACAGGTATCCAGGTATCATAGAAGAAACTATACAATGCAAATTTAATACAAATTCATAAATGAAGAAAATGGGCAAACATATATAAACATTACAAGCAGCTGCATCTAAATATATATCAACTATGATGTTAACATTCCTACCTATCCAAAAGGGTATAAAAGATGTGAAAAGAAAGCACAACAGAATAACAGTCAATAACATAAAGCGAACTTAAGTAGCTAATGACAAAAAATACTGTAAACCACTCAAACTTATGAATACTTTCATCAGTTCATGTATTGCAGAACAAGTTTTCTAGATCATATGTGCTGTCCATTTAGTGCTGTCCATGTTGTTAAGTGTATACAAAATTTTCCCTGCTGCACAGAAGCAGGGATGATGAAATATTTATTAACTGATTCTTTGAATGATATGGACAATTCCCAGGATGCTACCACAATCAATTAATTTTATATTAAGTAGAACTATTCCTTGAAGAGAATAATCATGTCATTTGCTTCAAAGTAAATTCCATACATGCATGCCAACAAAAGCATAATGAGGAATATCAGAATTCAGAACCCTATGTTACCCAGATACACAAGGATATCCAGGTACTATAGATGTCTAAAAACTCAAGGTTCTTTTTTTTTTTTTTTTATATATCTATTATTCACTAGAAAACAGCAAGGGAAAGAGAGAATGAGAGGAAGAGAGGAGAAGAGAGGGGAGAGGAAGAGAAAAGTTTGAGAGGCAAGAATCTGGGCTAGCGGCGTCCCCTTGTCTATTTATACTTAAGTGACAGAAAATAAAAAGGGAAGTTACAGAAGTGCCCTTGTGGCACAAGCTATTATAAGACATTGTTACTACATCTGATCTTTCTTCAATTTTCTTGACATAAAATCAAAAGAATAGCATGTCATAAAAAATGTCTACTTGCACCAAAATTGTCATAAATCAAGTCTTACCAGAATCTAGGGTTTACAGATGAAGGATTGCAGGTTTACTGTACTTTTTTGAAGGTAAAAAAGAAAATTCATTAAAAAGAAGCAAATATAACCTAGAGAGGTGTTGAGGTTACACCTCCAAACAAAGCTAAGGATTGCAGGTTTATTGTATGGCCGTTGATGTTATCGATACAAATGGTGGCATAGATAGTGCTCCAAGAACTGTGCAATCAGATTTTTTTTGAAGATAAATAAAAAATAAACTTTATTAGAGAGAAAGGAAAAGGAAATTACAGCAGGGTGATACGGAATCACGCAACAATAGCAGACCTAAAAAACATCAGACCCACCCTAACAAAGCCCCTAAAAACAGAGAAAAAGCCTACAGACACACCAAAGCACCTTAAGAAACAAACCCATATCCAAATATATCCAATTCCAATATAATATGATGAATAATCATCGAATATGATGATTTAGGTTAAATAAGAGTCAAATAATGAAGAATAATAGAAAAGAGGAAGAAGGAAGAAAAGTTTGAGAAAAAGGGGCAAGTATCTTTCTTGGTTATCATACCCCAGTCATTAGTATTTGTACTGAGTGTGAAATAATTACAAACATACCTCTCATTAGGTGCCCCATTATTAGATTGATTACAATGACTAAAATACCCTCAACAATTATATTACCCATTGAACATAATTGTTGCAATGGAGAGTATAAAACAAGCAAGTCTGGAGAAGGATAAAGAAAAGAGTCAAGAATCTCGGGTGGAGGTAGAAAGAGAAGAAAATTTTTGGATTAGGGTAAAGAAATGACAATAGTGTTGGTTGAATTTCATAAATAGCTTCCGTTATGTGATATCTTTCAAGAACAAATGGTGCCTCACAAGGTACCTGACAAAATGATTATAATCAGCATATAGGTAGCATAGATAACTGAAGTTCTTTGCCCCCCCCAAAAAAATCAAGTATACCAAATAAGAAACTACAAACACTACAATTTGAATAGAATAATACCAGAAAAGTTTGTACATTCTATGCAACCATTAGCAAAATATACTACATAAGGAAAATATGGTTGTGCATAGGCCAAACATATACAGAGGATAATAGGATAACATAGTCAAGGGCATGGAAATGGGAAAGTAATGAATGTAGTTCATTCTTCATTCAGGAGCCAAAACAGTATTAGGCTCCAATTACAAACTTAGACAAACACATCCAATCATGAACTCAGACAAACTGTTTTTCAATTTGACCATGATCTCTTCTCTTAACCCTTTTTTTCATCATTTCAGACCACCTAGAAAATAAATTGGCAACTTCAAACTTTCCAGAGAACTTCATTTTCTGAGCCAGCTCCCCTAAAATATCAGGCTTCCCAGCTCTAGAGTAATCAGCTGCGAACTTATTGTAATCAAGCTGAGGAGCCTTCATTCCTTTCTCTATCATCTCCTCTATGTATTTACAAGCCTCTTCTGGTCTTCCTTGTCTTATGAGCCCCCCGATGAAAACAGTATAAGAATTGTCATCAGGGCAACACTCCTTCTGATTCATCTCATCCCAAACAGCACACCCCATCTCATAATTCCCTGCTATGAAGAAGGATTTCATGATCATGTTATAAGTGTGGATTGTTGGTTGGTTACCACTCTCAATCATCTTCTTGTAAACCCTAACTGCATCATCTGGCATTTGCCTATTGGTCATAAGTTTGATCAAGGCATTGTAAGTTCGGCCATCAGGAGGGCATCCCTTCTCTTTCATCTCCTTCAGCAGTCCATACACCTTATCCATCTTCTTTTGGTTTCCGAACCCCACAATCAAACATGTATAAACAGCAGGGTCTGGCTGGCAACCACAATCAAGCATCTCATCAAAGTACTCAACAGCTTGTTCCATCTTACTACCCTTGCACAAATCTCTTATCAAGATGGTATAGCTTCGGACATTTGGAGAAGGACCCTTGGCCTTCATGATCTCAAACAGCTTGATTGCTTCAGATCTCTTCTTACCCCTCAACAACCCTTCAAGCATTATGTTATGGGCTACAATGTCAGGTTTAAGACCCTTATCAATCATCTCATTCCATACTTTCCCTGCCTCCATTAAATTCTTCACTTTACACCATCCAGCAAGGAGAACTGAATAAGTCTGCAAATTTGGTGGGAACCGATCCTTCAACTTCTCAAAGAGAGCTTGAGCTTCCTTTCCAAGCTTTGCCCTACCCAAGGCGTCAAGCAAGCAATTGAATGTATCAACACCTGCTTTGAACTTATGCTTTTTCATCAACTCAAAAATCCCAACTGCTTTTTTCATATGCCGTGCAGCAGCAAAAGCCTTGATAGCAATGGAGAACGTCTCTACTGTTAGAAGCCCTTGTTTACCCATTTCTTCAAGCATAACCACCATGCTCTCAAACTGCCTCGTCTTCCCAAGTATGCCCATCATTGAATTATACGTTATTGAATTATGTGAAAATCCAGGCCTCTGTCCTGCCCAACAGAAGAATCGGAATGCCGGACGCCAGGCATGCCGGAACCGAGCCAGCACATCCACAACAAGGTCATGAGAGATATCAACTCCACATTGATCAAGAACCGCTTCCATGCTCCTGTCTGATGTAAACAATTCTTCAATCACCTTGCAGACTCTTTCCACCTCTTTTGGATCTGCAGTGGACTCGAAACACTTGTCCTCACTCCTAATATCCCCACCTTCACCATCTTCCTCCATATCTCCTTCCTCTTCATTTATTATTGTATCCTCATCTGAAACCCCAGAAAACAACCTAATGTTTGAAGCTTTTGAATTCAAAACAATCATTTTTTCTGGTAGAACGAAGTGAAGCGGCTGTGAATAGGAGCGTAGCCAAATAACTGGAGCAGCCCCACTAGAACCATCAAATCGATGATTCAGACAATAACGCAAACACGAAGGTGGCGCAGATCTAGCGCCGAAACCGCCACCACTTCTAGGAATGTCGATTTCTTCCATTGGGTGTCTGTGTGTCGAATATTCGTATGAAACCCCAGAACAACTCCCAGTGCTAAAAACCCTAGAGCCCAGGGCTAGCATTTCTTCTTGTAAAACAAACTCGAGAGACCGTGAAAAGGGATATGACAGAAAGCACGAAACTTCACTACGAGAACGATGGAAACGACCATGAGGAGGATAATGAATAAAACGAGACAAGGGCAAAGAGCTACCACTAAGAAGGCGCATTTGCTGTCGCCATAACCGTCCTTCTCGTCTGGTTCGTTGTCTCTGACCTCCAGAGCATAGCTTGGAACAGGAGCAGCTGCCATGGAGACCTGGGATTGTAGAAACTTTAGTACCACAGCAGTGAAAATGTCGGACAAAAGTCGAGTCCTTGACGAGGGTTCTCAGGGATGGAGCCGTCATTCGAACGCCATAAATGGAGGAGAGAAGATGGGTATGAGCCTGAAAAATGGATTGAAAGATTTGATGCGGCTCGGAGACGGAGACGGAGATCGGAGATGTATCCAGATCCAGTTATGAGTCTACTCGGAGTCAAGTACAATCAAATCACTCGCTCATACCACGATTCAAGGATTCTGAATTTCTGACCAGAAGAATTTATGCAAGTTGTGGGACCCGTTTAGTTCATGGGTTGAGTTCAAGTCGGGCCGCGTTAGGTTGGGTTTAAGTGCACCTTACCCAACCCGAGATGTTAAACCCTAATCCAAAGTTGGCGGGTTGGGCTCAGGTTAATCTGACTTATGTTTCACCATGTGAGTTAACCTAATTATGGGAAATATTTCTAATGTACTGTACGGTTGTATTATAGTATATGTTTGGTTCCTTTTATTTTGGTGATGTGGTGTCTAATGGTGTCTATGTGTCATAAACGTCTTCCTTAAATGTATTTTTCAGTTTTACAATCATACAAGTACAAAATGTTTACCGCACATAAATGAAACCAAACACCTTGAGAGTGTTTACATGATTTTTACTTTCAAGGAGTTTTGGCCTCTCACTGAAACCAATGCACGGCGAATAGAGAATGAGTAAGAAAAACGAATAGAAAATCCTGTTTGCACAGAGTGTTCCTCACGCCAACCTCACGGCGTATTCCAACTGTACATCGGGAACATCTCCCGTTCTTGTTTATAATTTTTTCTAATAGATGTTCCCAATAAATAGTGGGATGTGGAGGTCAGCATCAATACTCTACCTTTGGCAAATGTTTTCTTTTCCTTATTCCTAATTTAAGAATTGTGTCAATTCCGTTTTAGCGTTATATAGGGAAATAGACTTAAACCTCCCCATGGTTTATGCTAAATACTAAAACCTCCACTCTTTTCAAAACGGGCTAATGCCTCCCTTGTCAGGTGACATTATTAGACAAAAGTCTCCCCTCCATTAAGAATTTATCAAGACCAGTTGCATATTAATTGACATATAGTTAAATTTTTTCAAAAATCCAATTTTGCCCCTCTAAAATATTCCCCATTTAGCAAAAGAGACCCATGGGCATTCAATTGACCATTGCAACTACTATTTCATCATCAAGTAGTAAGTTGAAGGAAAAAAAAACAAAGAAGTCGAGCGCTCCCCTTCCAACGTAGGAATTCTAGGTCTTTAATTCAGAAGATAAAGGATTTTGTCATCCTCTTGATTTTCTTAGGGACTCTGAGTCTGACTCAATCCTTCTATCTACAGCTATTCTTTGTCTATAGGAGTATTACCTTCTCGTTTATTGGTCAAAGATTTCTATAGATTATTATTAATTACTCTTAGTTGAGTCAACTATGACTTCTACTACAAAATACCTTGGTTCTTGACCACTTATGTTATGATCCATTTATCCCAAATTGGTAGTATGGGGTGCTATGTGAAGTATACCACATTGATAGTATGGGATGTTTTGTGGGGTATATATGTGTTTGGGTTCCCTCTCTCTGTCAACTAGCTTTTAGGGGTGAGTTCTCCTAAGGCACATAACAAATGGTATCAGAACCTACACTATGGCTCCCAGTTGCAATCATGTGGCGCAAGTGGTGATGTCAGTATTGCAGTGTTCGGCCGAGACTAGGTGGACTAGTGCAAAGCCAGCATATGTGGGTGCCGAGACTATAGAGCATGGTGGAATGTTATGATCCATTTGTCCCACATTGGTAGTATGGAATGATAATGTAAAGTATCTCACACCGGTAGTATGGGATGCTGTTGTGGGTATATATGTGCTTGGGTTCCCTCCCTCTATCAGATAACTTTTAGGGGTAAGTTCTCCTAAGGAACATAACAACTTCCATGAACCTCAACCAGAAAATATCACATTTCTTGATGTAATTTTGACATTCAAAAAACTTCATCTAACTCTAGACATTAGAATGCATTTAGAATTTTTGAAAAATAAAGCATGAAGATCCAAGTTATTTGTTTACTTGATGAATTTGAGCAAGGAAGAATGCTCGATGTTGTGAAATTATGAATTTTCTTTATCAAAAAATTAAGGATTCAAGCAACAAAAATTTTGTAAAACTAAGATTGAGCTTCTATAGGAATAGGTTTATAATCATGAAGGGAACAACAAATCAACTGTATAAGTACTCAAAAGGCTTCATTTCACTCACTAGGTATTGCAGATTCTTGCTTTTTGGATTTAAAGAAAAAGAAGAAATGGGTTTTGGAAATTAGAAGAAGGCACAAAAGGTGAAGAGTCTTATTTATCAGGAAATTGGGAAGACCTTTGTTACTATTCCAATTATTGTCCAATCTCATTGGATTTGATGAGAGATCCATTTATAACTTCTACCAAGCAAACTTATGATCGATCATCAATTTCTCAATAGATGAAATAATGTCACTATAGCTGCCCAAAAATGGGGAAAATGCTTCTCAAGACACATTTTTTCCAAACAATGCTCATTGAAACTTTATTTCACAATGGTAAAAACAGTTGATACCCATGGCCTTGAGCTAAGATTGCTAGAGAATTAGGAGAAATTCCCCTTCTTCATTGGTACTCTCTTCACCCCATCTAGTTACACTAGAATCCAGTGAGATGGCTAGTATTACTGTTCAGTTGGAAGAAATATGTTGGATTGGTAAGAGGTGGCCCCAATCCCATTGTTGATAACTTGTGTTGCCTAATGGCCTAGCCCAAGAGGGGGAGGGTGGATTGGGCTTCTTAAAAAAGTTTCTTAAGATTTCTTCTTCTATTGAGGATGCAACAATGAATAAATGGACAACTGTTGTAAAACTAGATGTATATACACAAGTATGTGTAAAAACAAAGATAACAAGAAAGCATATAAGAATTATAGAGGTTTGGCTATTCACAACCTACATTCTCTCCTCAGTTACACTACCTAAGAGTTTTCAATCCATTAACCAATTAGATTTTTGGGTGTTAAAAAAATCTTACAACTTCCTAGATAGACTTATAGGTGCTATGCAACCTTTCAATGTTCAATCCCAATCATAACAACAATAACAGTGAAGAATGTATACAACAATAATGAAATGCCTCTATAAATTTAATATGCAAGTACAATGCAAAACTATTCAAATGCAACTGTGCACATATACAATAATACTAGGGCTCAAACTCTCAAGAGAGTTAGATTTCTCAGTTAGAAGCCAACTATAAATCAAATTCATCTTTTCATTTTCTCACTAAGATTTCACTCTTTTTGGCTGAAGAACTCTCTTAAAACTCTTTTCTTCTCTTTCTCACTTGTTTTCCTTTCCTTATTCTTGTTAGGGTTTTTCAACTGAAAACATGATTAAATACTCTTGGATCCAAATCTTGAATTTGAACATTTTTAGTCTATTGAAGAGTAATCAAACTTCTATTGGAAAGTTTCAGAGATAATTTCCAATAGGTTTCAAAGCTTGCTTGAAGAGGAAAGAGTTGTTGCTCTTCAAATGGTCAAAATTTTCCTCTTGTTAGAGAGGAATCTATGTAAAGTAGTTGACTATTAAACTCTAGTAATTGACTAAATCTATCTGAGTCACGGGACTCTAACATGCTTGACTGGAGTTGACTACGTAGCCTTGATAGTCGACTCTCAGATGAAGAGTAACTTTCCTAGGCTTGACTATCTCAGTTAGTAGACTACTTGGTCTAAGTAGTCAACTACTTGTGCCTTGCTTCCAAATCAGCCTATTGCAGTTAGTTGACAATAAGGGTTAAGTAGTCAATTGCTTGCTACAAGTTTCTTTGTAAAGCTCAAGTAATTGCTACAATAAGGGTTAAATTTTCTTCTTAACTCAAGGTTTGGGAAATTTCCTAAGGCCTTACTTAGCCTAACCATTGGTTCCTAAGGTATGAGTTGAACCATTGTGGGTCTATAATGAGCTTATGCATTGCACATGCATGCTAATTACATCAAGTTTGTATACAAAAGACTCTTGAAGTTCTTGAACTTGATCTTGTTAATCTTCCAAAGATAAAAGTTTTGCATTTCTTGCTCAATTTCCATTTCAAATGCAAGAGAATCAAAATTATCTATACATCTGGAGTCGCATCATATTAATACCTTCAACGAGTTTGTTATCATCAAAACACATATGACCAACAACTTGTTGCAACAATGATGGGAGCAATGACAACAGTTAGTACTGCTAGAAGGTTGAAGATGTTTTTTTTTTTAAAGTCTATCTAAGCCCATATGGGCATATTTGTTTTTTAACAATTTTGTTAGACATAATGGCTAAAAATATATCTTGTAGGAGGTATTAGTCCATTTTAAAAAGAGAGGGGATTCTTAGTATTTAGCATAAATCTTAGAGGAGGTTTAAGTCTTTTATCTTATCATATACTAGTGTATGCACGTGGGAAAGTAAAGAAAAAAGAACAAAAAATTAGAAAATGGATTTTAAATTAATATTTGGACAAATGTTGTTTGTAAAGTATTACTCTTATATATATAACATGATGATAATATGATTTAACTTTGATGGTAAACTAAGTATCAACATTATATACTTATAGATAAACATGTTTTGGAAAAGTTTTGCCTTTAAAATTAAAATTGTTGACATACGTACATGCATATACAAAGATAATAACATGTGTACATACATACATTTATAGATGCATAGTTGCATATATAAATATATGCATATGCACATGTAATACACAAATACCCACATGTACTTACATACATAAATATATGTTTATATACTTTCTTTAAGTTTGTTTAACATTATATTGTGAGAGAATTAAAGTGTAACTTTATTTAAGTTAATGGAATGGCCTTTTGGGGCTTCAAAAAGAGAAAAAAAAGTCAAGTTGGTCAAGTCCACAACCCTAACTCAACCCGTACAGCTGCAAATTGATCAAAGTGAATTTGATATAGGTAGATCCAAATTTGATTTATTTATATTCAAATTCAAATTGGATCATATCCATCATATTTATATTGGATTCAAATTGAATTTTGATTATAATTGAATATTGACTAGGATTAATGAACATAGACTAAAATTGATCAGAACATTATGTATTATTAATAAAATGAATTAAAAGTGACTCTGATATTGTATTTCATGAAAAAAGTGAACCAAAAATAACATGTATGAAACTTGAATCTATGACAATTTAG